TCGAATTCCCGACGCCCGTGAGTACTGAAATTTGCGCAAAATATGCGAGCTCGACGTCTTTTGAGCTCGAAAATCCGATTACCACTGAAACTCGGCTGCAAAGGAAGCCGATCTAAGATCACCCATGGCGGATAATTCACGTACCCGCATTCGGTAACATTAAAACGGATTGGTACTTTGATGTGGCAAATATAGCCCATTATGACGCTGTCGTAGGATTACCATTCTGTGCTAAACATGGCATTACAATAATTCCGGAGCGCCGTACAATCAAACTACGGGATGGTACTCTAATTCCCGCCGAATTAGAAGGGGGGAGGACCGGAGGAGGTGACAAATGGGCTAAGACCGTCGAAGCCAAGCCTCGGCCCTTTCGGAAGGCGACCGTCGAAGCCAAGCCTCGGTCCTTTCGGAGGGCAAACTAAAAATAACAGCCTCCGCCCACGACCCAAGACAGCGGTCCGTTCACACGGGCTTGACACGCAAATGCCGGATGTTGCTGAGCATAATGTACCTACTGTACTTACAATGGCAAGTGCGATTGCAGACGAAGAGATCAAGGACATCAAATTCCCAAAGGAATTTGAAATCGCATACGAAGAGCACAAAGCCTCGGAAGAGGCCCAATTGAAAACTCTGTGGGGTAAACGGATACCGTTCCCCGGACCGCCCCCATCACGCGCCCAAGAAGCGCTGAGAGAAGAAGACATCCCACGCCTTCGGGAGCAATGGCGGGAACGAATTGCGGACATCACGGGTGATATCCCGCTGGAAAGGCCTCCATATCGGGAGGTGAATCATAAGATTAATATTATCGACCCCCGTAAGAGATACAGGGGCCATAGGCCAAGATGCCCGGAGGCATACCAAAAAATACTACAAGATAAAATAGAAAAATACACTAAGGCAGGCTGGTGGGAATGGAAACCAGTCGACAACGCGTTACCTATGCTCTGCATCCCAAAAAAGGATGGGAAACTCCGGACAGTATTTGACTTACGAGAACGTAATGAGAACACGGTGCACGATGTGACGCCGATGCCGGACCAGGACCGAATTCGAAATGATGTTGCACGTGCACGTTACCGAACGAAGCTCGATATGAGCGACGCGTACGAGCAGATCCGGATCGAGAAAGGTGACGTACACAAGACCGCCTTCTCGACCATTTTGGGCACAATGGTGTCCCACGTAATGCAGCAGGGCGACTGCAATGCCCCCTCTACTTTTCAACGTCTAATGACCCACCTATTCAGGCAACACATAGGTATATTTGTGCATGTATACCTAGACGATATTTTTATATTCTCGAATACAATTGAGGAGCACGAAAGGCACCTCGAAATAGTATTCGATACATTACGCAACGCGCACCTATACCTTTCCAAAAAGAAGGTTGATCTCTATTCGGATCGAATGGAGTGTCTGGGCCACCTGATCGACCGCCAAGGGATTCACGCGGAGAAGGACAAATTGGAACAGATCCGCGATTGGCGAACACCGAGGAACTATAGCGAAGTAGCCCGGTTCTTGGGCCTGGTGCAATACTTGGCACAATTCATGCCGAATGTAGCTACATACACAACACCGCTATCGAACATCTGTAGCGACGGTGCGCCATTTCATTGGCGACCGATACATGAGAAATGCTTTCGCATGATCAAAGAATTGGCGTGCCGAGCGCCCATACTGAAACCCGTCGACTTCGAAAGCCCCGATCCGATCTGGGTGATCTGTGATGCCTCGACCACGGGCGTCGGTGCCTATTATGGACAAGGCCCAAATTGGGAGACGTGCCGCCCGGCAGGCTTCATGTCGAAGAAGTTTACTAACGCGCAACGAGGCTACGCGACGTATGAGCATGAAACGCTCGCAATACTCGAAGCCCTCCTCAAATGGGAGGATAAACTAATCGGAAGAAAAATAAATATTGTAACTGACCACGAGACTCTTGAATTCTTCAAGAGTCAGAAAAATATGTCGTATCGCCAACGGCGATGGTCCGAATATCTCAGCCGATTTGACTACACTCTAACGTACATACAGGGGGAGACGAATGTCGTCGCGGACGCATTATCCCGGTGCCACAAGGCCGACCGCCCTAGCGAGAATCCCGCACCGTACTATTTTGTCGATGCGGATCGGCGGTTAGACCCCGCTGGGGACGATCTACCCGCACTCCGGAATGAGGAAATTGCGCACCTGAATGCCATGAGGCTACCAGAAGCCATCGAGAGCCGTGACCTAGAAGCGGAGATGTTAGCGCCTGAATCGGACGCTCCCGAAATTACTCCGCCGGTGATGTCGGAAGATGATCCGGTAGTATACGAAGCGGTAGCACATGGGCCGCTCCCGCCGCAAATCACTACTGAACACGATGAATTCGAAAAAGCAGTACGAGAAAACTACAGGAATGATACCTTGTTCGCAAAGGTGTTGGAACATCCAACTGAGCACAAAGCGTTCACCATACGAGACGGACTGATCCTGGGCAGCAATCGGGCCGGAAAAGAAGTTCTTGGCGTACCACACGGTCGGCTCGGCGCTCGGAGCCTGAGAGAATTAGTGATTGATGCCGCCCACCGAACCCTGGGCCACTTCGGGCTTCAGAAAACAATAGACTACGTACGAAGGTTCTATTGGTGGCCTCAGATGTCACGCGATATTGAAAAATTCTGCGCGACATGCCACATTTGCCAAACAACGAAGGACCGCAACAGGAAACCCGAAGGATTGTTGCACAGCCTCCCGGTGCCTGGGCGCCCATGGAGCTCGATAGCGATGGACTTCCTGGGACCGTTTCCCCGGTCCCGCGGATTCGATTACCTTTGGGTAATTATTTGCCGACTAACGAGTATGGTACACCTCATACCGTGCACCACAAAATCCAAAGCATCAGAATTAGCGTACATGTTTGTACGCGACATTGTGAGACTACATGGGCTGCCGGATACGATAGTATCCGACCGTGATTCTAAATTTAATTCGAAGTTCTGGCGGGAGACTCACCGGATACTCGGAACGAAGCTGTTGATGTCGACCGCGTTCCACCCACAAACAGATGGCGTCACTGAGCGCGCGAACCGATCGGTGGCGCAGATCATGCGAACCCTGATTCGGCCCGATCAGACCGATTGGGTTGACGCGCTCCCACTCACCGAACGCAGCGCGTTCCGAAACAACAGGATTCTCTGCGTTTGAATTAACGTACGGGTACATACCGCGAATGCTGCATGAATTCGGAATGGAAAACACCTCGCCCGGAGTACGAGAATTTGCCTTGCACGCGAAGCATTGCCTGGAACAGGCCCATGATGCCATCATAGCATCACGTGTTCGCCAAGCACATCATGCGAACCAGCGGCGACGCGACCACCAAGCCTATCGGCCTGGTGATCTGGTCTACGTGAGTACGGCTAACCTTAATTTGCCCATCAAACGTGCACGCAAGCTCGCGCCTCGGTTCATTGGACCGTTCAAGATCCTTGAGGCCAACAATGACGTCAGTGTCTATTTGATTGACTTGCCCACCGATCTCAAAGCGCGCCGCGTGCATCCCCGATTTCATATCAGTAAGCTTCGGCCGTACATGCCGAATGACGATAAACTATTCCCGGGCAGGGACCCTGCAAACTTTTATGACTTCGGGCAAGCCGAGGATTTAGAATACGAAGTTGAGGAAATACTAACCCATGAATGGCATGGGGATACCATATTATTCTTAGTGCGATGGACACTGGGCGATAGCTCATGGGAGCCGTGGGAAAATGTCAAAGATCTGTCCCTGATGGACAGGTACTTCGAAATCGAAGGCGTGAGCCGCGTGGAAGACCTGCCGAAATCTCGGCCGCCGATCCAAGGCCTGCCCGCCCCCGAGGGCGCAATAGTCACTCCGTACAGTATGCGTCCTGTTGGGCGCGATGGAAAAATATTACTGGTCAGTCGGG